AGTGGCGAAAGCCGTCATCTCCTTCACCATGCTCGTAAGGCACAGAGACGTGGCTAGCCATGGCTGTGTTCTGGAATCGAGCCCCGGGAGATTGCTCTTCCGGTTATCTTCACCTGTGTGGAGTGCACCGGTGAGACACCGGCTATATACCTTGACGTGAGTGTAGCACACCGGGTATCCGTTTGCCTCCACCTGTGCGGAGAGTACCTACGGGTACTTCCACAAGTGTGAAGCTTCCCGTTTCCCGGGAGCTCCGCTACCACGTTGTGATGTAACCTCTGCGTATTGACCCTCGCAAGCGTACAGGTCTACCGGCAAAGCAGGAGTCTCTTTTTATCACAGGTGCACAGCTGTGAGTATGATCTTTGCTAGAACGTTGAGCAGCAAACATCAGCATACATGCATGCAAGTGGTACGTGAAAAAAACATGCACCTGGATGTGTAACATTAGTGTTTCAACCCCCCGCTCAGGCCCTCCCACTTGAGCTGCATGTTGCGTTGTTTTTATCTAAAGGGCTGTCGTCTTTTCTGAACCGATGATGTTCCTACCGAATGAAGAGACAAGCTCGAGAATTTGGTAGACGGAAGGAGAGGGGAGCCCATCGTGAATTGAGAGAAGCGAGTGCGTCGACAGGTACAAGAAAAACGGGGACCCTAAACCCTAAACCGGTAAACTACGCTTCCGCATAGGCTCTGTGCGACTCGGCTGGGGAGTTGGGATCGGGAGCCTTCTTTACTCTCTTACGTGCTGGTACTGTCAAGTACTTACAGTGTTGTGTCGTTCTACATTTCCATGGGTCTTTTCTTTTCACTCAATCGAATTGTGTGACGCACGGTTGCTAAGTAGTGAGCCTCATCTCGCCGAAACGTGACGGTACAACATGTTTCATGGCCGAATGGCGACCGGCTGCTGGTTTCAACTGGTGTATTCTACATGCAGCATGCAGCATTAGCCAAGGGGTAGAAGCAGCGCATTTGATGCGGAGCTCATCTCTTGCGGTTTGTGTGTTGTTGCAGTAGTGAGTGTAATGGGCCGGCAGCAAGATGGAGTTCCTTGCCTTTGCAGGGTCCTGTTTGCTGCGGCAATCTACTGTGCAGCCCGCCGCGATTGGCGAGGCCAGCTTGCAGTGCACGTGGAACGAGCGGGGCGGGCGGGAGCTGACATTCGTGCAGCGGTTTTCGGATCCATGCGAACATGTTAGCGGCGGCTGGCCGAGGCCTGACCTCAGGGCTTCCGCGAATCCCTCCGTGGGCAGGGCTTCCGTGCCCTTACAGGGGCTTGAGTACTTGGACCGGTTTTCTGGATCAAGGTTTATGTATATACACTACGTGAGCATGAAAAGCAATGGAAGACACGGGTTGCTCTGGCAGTTGCCATGACGGTAGTTTACGATAGCTTTCAGCCCAGAGAGCGACTGCACTAGGAATATTCGGACTCGGGACGATCGAAGATGGTGGCTTCAGGGTCGGCTTTCCAATGCTGGGAGGCTGAATAATGGTCCACAAATGAAGATCCGCAGACGCCCAACTGTGACAGCGCCCGCCCGAAAACACACCGGTCAACTTCGAGATGGGTATCATGCTTCACGCTTGCCCCTGAGTTGGCAAGCTTGAGAGTCCGAAGTTTCTGTAAGAAGCTTATTGGGTATGTGCGGCGGTTTCGAAGTCTTGGGGGTTTGGTCAGGAGCAGGGGTTGGGTGCTGTCGCAACCATCAAAGCAGGGCTCTGCGACTCCGAATCATTTGGAGACACGAGAAGTCCTCACAGAAATTCGAAGAACGCTTCAAGAGCTCACTCCCCCAATGATTACAGACGGCATCGGGTCCCAACAGCATAGACGCTGACCTGTTGCAGGCTTGAAGCATTTTGAAGTCTGCACATGGAGAGGGAGATCCTGCTGAAGCAGGCATCTCCTGCACGGAACGGCAGTAGCTCCAGTCCCGGGGCTCGCTGAAAAGTGTTGATCTTGCCGGAGCAGCATATTTCCCCTGTTGGAAAAGGTCGAGGAGTTAGTCCACTGTCGGAATGTTCAGTGCCAGATGTTGCTGGTCCCGACGGGCTCAAGTTGCCCCCAAAACTCGAAATTCGGGGAAAGACAGAAACAAAAACATAATATCACGAACGAATGCCGCCAAAACGGCAGTTCCAGCATAAAGCCCGGAATCCGAAAGGAGCAAACACTCAACACAAGATAACGAAAACAAAATCAACAGACAAAAACAAGACAACACAACGAACACAATGAAGACTTGCACAAAAAACACCGGAAGGAGCACAGTGCAGACCAAAACTGAGAAGCAGCAAGAGCGAAAACAGTGCCAAAAGGGGTCTCGGGGCGGCATGTTAGCCAGCTGCCAAACGCAACGATAAGCTTTTAAGGCAATTCCTTCAGACGGCTTATAAATCCATGTTGCTCCAGCTCCTTGGCTCATGCGGGCTGCTGTGCCTGGAAGCAGACGCATACCAACAATATTGTCGACATGCCGGATGTAGAAGTACGTTGCCATGTTGATTGCCAAATACGTGCAAAGCATAGGGAAGCTTGGTGGATTCGAGTTGCGTGCGGTTAGGCTGCTAGGCAATTCTGCTGGCTCGTCCCGATTGCTCCTGATGCTGGAAGAGGCCTCCAATCACTTGCCGGTGCCTTCGACAGATGATGCTGGGCTCTTGTTAGGGGATTGTATTTAAATTACCATAATAAGGAAACCATATTATTTGCTATAGATCCCTATTATGGTAACTTAAATTAAATCCCTTAGCAAGAACCCAGGATGAGGAGCTGATGGAGTCGCGCCAGAGGGCTCCCAGGGGTGTCTTCGCAGTGGGCGCTGCGAGCCTCCTTCTGATGGCGTGTCTCCTCGCGCCAAAGAGCGCCCTGACGCTTTTCGGGTTCAACTCCGGGCTGATCTCTGTTGAGGATGGAAGAGAACATCAAAAGCCCAAAAAACCCGAGGCTCCTGAAGCTTTAGACCCCCTGAACAAAAAGCCCGAGCCGGATTTTGACGCCTGACGTCCCTCCAGGATGTTCGGCTACCGACCCTGCCGACCCTGCCTGCGAGCCCCGCGGACGAGCTGCAGGATACGGTCGCCAGCTTGAAGCAGAGGCGGCTCCCACTGAAAAGGGCTCTACAGGGGTTCTACATGACTTTCTGTCAGGGACTAGGGTTATCTCCAACACAAACCCTAAACCCTAAACCCTTAAACCCTAAACCCTTAAACCCTAAACCCTTAAACCCTAAACCCTTAAACCCTAAACCCTGAAACCCTTAAAACTTAAACCCTTACACCCTAGAGGTATGGCTTCGATGGCCAGCGCCGGGATGAGATCGCGCTCTGCATCATCAACCTGAACCTGGGCTTCTGGAAGCTGGTGCCTCCGAACCCCGAAGGATAAAAGCGGCTTAGGGTTGAGGATTTAGGGTTTTAGGGTTTAGGGTTTTAGGGCTTCAGGGTTTTAGGGTTTTAGGGTTTTAGGGTTCAGGACTTTGGGTGTTGGGGGAGCGGCTTCAGGTGCAGGATCTAGGGTTTTAGGGTGGAGGTTGGGGTGTGCTTATCGGGTGAGGATGTTGGGGTTGGGGTTTCGGGTTTCGGGTTTAGGGTTTAGGGTTTAGGGTTTAGGGTTAAGTAACTAGGGATTTGCCTTTCGGGTTTTTGCTGCAAAGGTCCTAGTGTTTCGGGTTTCAGGTTTCTGGTGCTAGAGTTTCATGGCTTAGGGTTATGGGTTCTTGGGGTTTCTAGTCCCCAGAACTAGGTGCAGTGGTCCACCATCCTCACAGAAGCGACCAACAACTGTCCGGCAGGCTCGCGAATACTTGAACTTGGGTTGGGCAGTGTTCTTGTGTGGATTTATTGGCTTTTGAGCGCTTTTTCGGCTTTATAGGGGTTCGGGTTTAGGCTTCGGTTTTAGGATCTGGATGTGAGGGTTTGGTGTTTAGGCCTTTCAGTGTTGGTTTGGGATTCATAGTCTTGGCTTTGGGGAACCCGGAATTCTCCTTCAGGCTTCCATGATCCCGACAAGAAGCTGGCTTGCCAAATCAACATGGCAGCCGTTTTTGCGCCGCTCTCTGCGAGCATTGGCCTGTTCTCCAGCACGGCTTTCCTCTGCCCAGGCAGGGCAAGGGCAGCAGAAGGTGACCCGAGATATTCCAATCCCTACCAAATCCTTCTGGAAACCCGAAGAACTCTACTCTACTCATGTTTACATGTACTATTACTATTGTTACTCATACTTACTTCTATTACTAGTGTTGTTACTATTTCTATTCTTCTTACTGTACTTTGCAACCCTGAAGAACCCCGGCAAGCCTGCCTCCCCACTCCCACCCACTCCCAGATGAGATCTCAAAGAGCTTCGGAGAACTTTGTCACAGAACCCTGGGTACTACGAGAAAAAGCAACAATAACAATAATACTAATAATAGCAATAGTCGTAGATAAAAGTATACATAATAGAGATAGTACACTACCCTCGCAAGCCCTGCCACAAGAAGCCAGGGAAGCGGTTTGAGTAGTAGACCTAAACCTTAAATCCCAAACCCTGAACCCTCAACCCTGAACCCCAAACTCTATACCCGAGCAACCTATCCGAAGCCCTACTCTGAAACTTTCAGGGAAGATGAACCCGGATGCCGCCTGTGCTTCGACTTTTGGTGCAACCTTCGAGGCCACTCCAGAAGGGCGGATTCTGGATAGGGACGTGGAGCCTTAATAATTAGAATAGGGTTTTGGGGGTTCCTCAGCTATAGTTATAGTATAATATACCCTTAAGCCCTATTCTACTTATTAAGGGACTATGGTATGGTCCTTATTATAAGGATCCCACTATTCAGGGTACTCTTTTGGGGTCCCCTATTTTTTCGGAAACCCCCAAATGAGGTTTCAGGATTTCGATTCTGGGATAGGGACGTGGGGCTTAGGGTTTACAGAGGAGTCTTGCGGACTAAGTGTCTTAGGGTGCAGAAGGAAGGTTCGGGAGTTTGGGGAGAGCAGTTGTGTTGCAGAATTGAGGGTTTGGGAGTTTCGGAATTGAGGGTTTGATCCGAAACCCCCTAAATCCCTAACCCCTAAACCCCTAAACCCCTAAACCCTAAACCCCAAACCCTAAACCCTGAATCAAAAATCTGCTTGCTACCCAGAGGCCGCTGCGAAATTCGCAGCCTCACCTGCTCAGATCTCGCTTTTCTGCCCCAAGGCGACGCAGGGTCTGTTTTTGGTTCAGGGTTTAGGGTTTAGGGTTTTTGGTTCAGGGTTTAGGGTTTAGGGTTTGGGGTTTAGGAGGGTTTTTGGTTCAGGGTTTAGGGGCTTCGGGCGTAGGGTTTAGGCTCAGGGGCTGAGGGTTTAGGGTTTGTGTTGGAGATGCTCCAAAGACGAATGAGGCCTCATGCCAAAATCCTAAATTACTGAACCCCGAATCCCCAAATCCTACCCAATCCGACCCTAAACCACCATTTGGGCAGTTCTCTAAATTCGGGTCCTTCCTTTCTTTAGTCCCGCAAATGGTGCGGCACTCTTATATTGGGAACCCTAAAAGGGCACCCCAATTTAGAGAACCACCCATTCGCTGAGCATCACGCATGCCTACATCCCGAGGCCGTGGCTCAACGAGACTTCGCGGAGGGTGGGCAGACCGTGTTTCAGAACGAGACTGGGCTCTGGTCCTTTTGTTCTCATAGGAATTGTACTTTTAAGGTTTAGGTTATGTTTATTGTAATAGAACTCCAAGGGAGCATGAAGAACGATTTTTTGATTTTGGCTCTACGGGTGCTGAAGGGTGGAGGAGTGTTGACGGATTCAACAGGTCTGATACGGGCAATACTAGGGCCAGTTTAAGTTACCAGAATGGAGGGATGAATACATGCATACATACATGCAT